AACTGATTAAAGGATTCATGCTCTTAGACGGTGAAGATGCCTATCGAAAAGCAAAGGAAATGTTGTCGAAGCGTTTTGGTGATTCATTTGCTGTTGCAGCTGCCTTTCGACGGAAGCTCGACACTTGGCCGCAAATATCCCCGAATGACGTACAGGGATTAAGAAATTACGCGGACTTTCTAGTTCAGTGCGAGAAAGCGATGGAAAAGATTAGTAGCCTGAAGGTCCTGGATGATGATCAAGAAAATCACAAGTTAGCATCTAAGTTACCAAGATGGACATTGGTCAGATGGGGAAGACGAGTCTACGATTGGAAAGAAAAGAACCACAATTTCCCCCCGTTCTCCGAGTTCGTGAAATATCTCGTGACCGAGTCCAATATAGCTTGCGATCCAGTTATCAGCCGTTTTAAGGAAGACGACTCTAAGAAAGCGAAGAGTCGACCGTACGAAATACCGAATCGCAGGAATCGTCCGAATCGAGATGAATATCGCAGTCGAAACACACTCGCAACACGATCAGAAGAAGGAGATCAGAGCAAGGAAAGACCTAACGGCGAAGCAAAGCAGACCACCTGCATACTGTGTAATGGACCTCATGAACTGAACTCGTGTCAGTCGTTTTGCGCAAAGGATATAATAGATAGAAAGGAATACGCGAAAGAGAAGGGTCTTTGCTTTGGCTGCTTAACGCAAGGACACATATCTAAACACTGCAAAAGGAGAAAAACTTGTACAACGTGCAAGAAGTCGCATCCAACATCCCTCCATGGAGATCTTAGGAAACCCGAAAACAATCAGAATTCCCAATCCCCTGAAAATCCCCCTACGACCAACTGCACAAAGACTTGTTTTATGAACGACGGTAACGAGCATCAAATCAGTTCGATGATCGTACCCGTGTGGATTAGTCACGAGCACAATCCCGAGTTAGAGAAACTTACCTACGCGCTGCTGGATGATCAGTCTGATACAACCTTTGTTTCGCAGGAAAATTGAACCACCTTAACGTCAGTGGACCGAAGATACAGCTATCCTTGTCGACTATGCACGCGGAGAACGAATTGCTACCCAGTCAAAGGATCAAGGGACTAAAGGTCAGTGATGTTATGCATAGCAAGGTTATTCAACTTCCCACGAGTTTTTCCTGCATCGCAATACCAGCAAGACGTCAACAAATCCCCTGTCCCGAAATGGCTAAGAAGTGGCCCCATCTCAGAGACATCGCCTCACATCTGATACATCCTCAGAACGATATCGAAGTAGGACTTTTGATTGGTTCGAACTGTCCTCAAGCAATAATACCGCGCGAAGTTATTCCCGGTCAGCAAAATGAACCCTACGCACAAAGATCTGATTTGGGCTGGGGAATAATCGGCAATGTTACCAAGCCCACCGAAAACAACGATGAAAGTTCAGTAGCCATCGTTCACCGAGTAACTACGCGTAACCCCACAAGCACCAACACGCCACAGCAGAAGACTTGTTATTTTGCCATTAAGCCAACCGTGAAGGAAGTTATTAATCCTGCTCAGTTGTGCCAAATGTTAGAGTTGGACTTTTCCGAAAGAAGAAATTCTGAGCCATCAATGTCACAGGACGATAAGAAATTCCTATCTAAGATGGATCAAGGTGCGTATCAAGAAGAAGGTGGCCATTACGTTATGCCCCTACCATTTCGTGAGCTAGTACCAAAGATGCCCAACAACAAGTCGCTTGCCCTACACCGACTGTCGAAACTACGAATTCGCTTGGAGAAGAACGAGAAATATCGGAAAGATTACAGCCGCTTCATGAATGACCTCATCGAGAAAAACCATGCTGAGAGAGTTCCTGAAAGGGAGCTGGAAAACACAGAAACTTCCTACGATTTCTTTGGTTCGAGGACGGCGACATAACGAAGAACCCGGTGGAGTACAGAATGACCGTACACCTTTTCGGCGCAGCATCTTCGCCAGGTTGCGCAAATTACGGCTTTAAGAAAATCGCAACAGACCACGAGAGAGAGTTTGGATCCGAGGCGGCAAGCTTTATTAAGGACAACTTTTATGTCGACGACGGCCTAAAGTCGGTCAACACAGCCGAACATGCGATTTCTTTGATTCAGAAAACGAAAGAACTGTGCGCGAAGGGTGGCTTACGACTCCATAAATTTGCCTCTAATTCGAAAGAAGTCATCGCAGCAATCCCACCCGAAGATCGTTCGTGTCAGTTGAAGAACCTCAATCTCGGAAGCGACCGCCTACCGATAGAAAGAGCACTGGGAGTGCAGTGGTGTATCGAGTCCGACGCCTTCCAATTGCAAATAACAGTGCAAGACAGCCCATTGACAAGACGGGGCATTCTTTCTACCGTCAGTTCAGTATACGACCCACTTGGTCTTGTGTCACCCGTTGTGCTCATAGCCAAGCAAATTCTTCAAGAGCTATGTCGAGACGGAGCCGACTGGGACGACCCAATTCCGGATTCAATCAAAGTTAGATGGGAAAGATGGAGAAGAGAACTTTTCCTACTCAACGACGTAAAAGTACAGAGAAGTTTCAGACCCGAAGGCTTCGAACAACTGAAATCCGTAGAGCTTCATCACTTCTCCGACGCTAGTACGTCAGGATACGGACAATGTTCCTACGTACGCTTGTTGAACCACGACGGCGAAGTTCACTGTGCACTCGCAATGGGAAAGTCACGTGTATCTCCCCTAAAGAACGTCACGATTCCACGTTTAGAGTTAACCGCAGCGTTAGTTTCTGTCAGAGTAAGCACCATGCTACACCGTGAACTTGACTATGATAAGATTCTTGACATCTATTGGACCGATAGTAAAGTTGTACTTGGCTACATTGGTAATGACGCTCGAAGATTTCACGTTTACGTTGCGAATCGCGTACAACAAATTCGAGATGAGACCTCTCCAGAGCAGTGGAAATACGTTGAAAGCAAGGAAAATCCGGCCGACGACGCATCGAGGGGATTAACGGCTCGCGAGTTTCTCGATAGTAAACGCTGGCTTTCAGGACCTCCATTCCTATGGAACCGTAATCTCGACTTGGCCGCTGACGACCATCAACCACTTCCTAGTAACGATCCCGAAGTGAAGACAAACGTTCTCGTCACCCAAGTAACATCCAGAAGCTTCTCGACAATTCCCGAGCGTCTCGAGTACTTTTCGGATTGGCATCGTGCCAAAAGAGCCGTAGCCGTAATCGTAAGATTTCAACGACGATGGAAGAGATCTCACTTGCGACCCGATGAAGCTCCCATGAGCTCCACAACCGAATATCAAAGATCGAACGTCGAAGAGCTTCTTCAAGCCGAAGTTGCAATTGTGAAGCAAGTACAAGAACAAGCGTTCTCAAAGGAAATCCAAACGTTGCGTTCAATGCAGAAACCCGATTCTGGTCAAGACGACGTGCGAAGACGTAAAGCGGTCATGAAGAAGACCAGTTCGCTTTATCGTTTGGATCCATTTCTCGACAAGGAGGGCGTCCTTCGTGTCGGTGGGCGCCTTACTCGTGCAAACACCCCATCATGTTAAACATCCGACCATCTTACCACGAAAGGGACACATTACTGCATTAGTGATCAGGGCCTATCATCAACGGGTTAACCACCAAGGACGCGGAATGACGCTGAATGAGCTTCGTGCGAGCGGGTATTGGATAACTGGTGGAAGTTCCGCTGTTGCTTATCATATTTCCGAGTGCGTTCCATGCCAGAAACTCCGCGGTTCCACCCAAGAACAGAAAATGGCCGATCTACCTCAAGACAGGCTGGAACCATCACCCCCCTTTACACACTGCGGGGTCGATTACTTCGGGCCGTGGCTTATTAAAGAAGGACGGCGCGAACTCAAACGGTATGGTGTCCTATTTACTTGCCTTGCATCACGTGCAATACACCTCGAAGTAGCGAAGAGCCTAGAAACTGACTCATTCATTAATGCATTACGTCGTTTCCTGGCGAGACGTGGTCCGATAAGAGTGCTACGATCCGATCAAGGTACGAACCTCGTAGGAGCGCGTAATGAACTTACAGAAGCCTTGAAGGAAATGAATAGAGAAAACGTGCGAGATTTCCTGCTAAAAAACGAGTGCGACTGGATCGAATTCCAACCAAACGTTCCAGCCGCTAGTCATATGGGAGGATCGTGGGAACGTCAGATAAGGACTGTTCGTAACATCCTCGACGCCATACTAAATCAGTCTGGAACACAATTGAACGAGGAGTCACTCCACACCTTCATGTGTGAAACGGAAGCTATAGTTAACAGCCGACCCTTGACCATCAACAACCTAACCTCACCGAACGAAGGCGAACCACTCACCCCAAACCACTTGCTTACGATGAAATCTCGTGTTCTCTTACCACCACCTGGAGAATTTCAGAAGGAAGACATGTACCTAGTGAAACGCTGGCGAAGAGTGCAATATTTGGTAAATCAGTTCTGGTCGCGTTGGCGAAAGGAATTTCTGTATTCACTACAACAGAGGCAGAAGTGGGTACGCCTTCGGCGAAATATGCAACCAGGAGATATTGTGTTAATGTCCGAAGGTAACGTGCCAAGAAATTGTTGGCGTATGGCCCGCATAGAAGAAGCTTATACTGATGAGGACGGATTTGTGCGAAAGGTGAAGCTGGTTATGAGTGATCCTTCACTGAATCGAAAGGGAGAGCGCATTCGTGCCAAAAGCGTGTTGGAACGACCAATCCAGAAGTTGGTACTACTATTAAATAATAATAATAATAATCTGTTTAATTAATCACATTGCAGTCTGTACTGAATTACATGATTATAAGTAAATACATTAAAAATTAAATTTACAGATAAAATTGAGTTCAAACCGTTCAATGTTCGTTCTGAATAGTCAGTTTAAATCTGTCCACAAATTATAATTGGGTCCCTGAATTAATATACATGAGTACTACTAAATCAATAATACATTAATAATTATATTTGACAGTTATAAAATTTTGAAACCGTTCTGTGTTCGTTTGGAGTGACCAGCTTGATTCGGACCTAAGATTATAATTATGAGTATTTGGATGTATACGAGTTGCAACAACATCCTTAAGAGGATTTATAGGACCATTGTCAAGCTTCAATTTCCGAATAAATTGTTCACAGGAATTATGTCTACGCGTACTTAACTTTTTTAGACCAGTATAATTCAATGCGTCTTGATACGACATTTCGGGAAGCAAGATACGTAATGCTCTTCTCTGTATCGATTCGATAAGGTCAGACTGGCCTTGGGTCAGCGTTGACCACGCAGGTGAAGCGTACTCAATTCGGGACCGAATGAAGGAGGAATATATAGTGACAAGGTCTTTATCGCTTAACCCAGCCTTTTTTAACTTCCGCAATGCATAGAGTCTAGAATTTGCTTTTTTAATCACATAGTCGACATGATCACACCAAGATAGATCCTCTCTCAGTAGCACACCGAGCAGTTTAAAGGAGGATACTGATTGCACTAGCGAACCATCTATATAGATCGCATTATCAAGTGGAAGGTGGTATTGGAGGAAGGATATTGTCATCTCCTTACATTTCTTACTGTTAAGCTTCATTCCTCTACTTGAGGTATACTGAGATACATCATTTACGAGAATAGGTAGCAAGCTAGGAGAGCAACGTGGAACAATTTCTAGTGCAGTAGCATCGTCTACAAACTTTATCCGCCCGTTCCAGTCCTGTAGGAGGGAATTGACTAAAATGGCAAAGAGAAGAGGGCCAAGTTTAGTTCCTTGAGGTAGGCCACCGTTAACAGGTTTCCATGAGGAAAAGGATGGTCCGATTTTAACACACTGTTCGCGGGAGGTAAGGAACGACTTTATCCATCTTATAATGGCAGGACTCACTTGTAATTTTAAAAGTTCATCAATAATGACATTATGGTCGACGAGATCAAAACCTTTTTTGAAATCAGCAAAAAAGATTCTTACAGAGCAGTGGCCTTGATCTAAAGCAGCATGAATCAAGTGGAGGAGATAAACGAGTGCCTGAGTGGTTGACTTTCCCGGAAGAGCAAATTGCTTTGGGTCCAATTTAAGACCCACTTCCGACATGAGGGACTGTAGCATAAATCCTTCCATCACTTTAGATACCTGAGCTGTGAGTGATATAGGTCTTAAATCGTCCTCAATAGTCTGAGGTGGTGACACTTTTGGAATGGGAACGACGATAGAACGTTTTAGCTGATCAGGGAAGACTCCCTGGAGCACTGATGTATTGTATATGTCCATTATGATAGGGGCAAATTCAAAAGCGAAGGTTTTCAGGATCCTATTTGGGATACCGTCTGGGCCAGGAGACTTCGTCGTTTTAAGACGTCGCAACACTGAATAAACTTGCCCTATATTTACGAGTAGATGGTTGGGAACTTCTGTCTCCTGGTCATCGGTGCATTCTAACAAGGGTTTAAAATGCGAAGTAAGTCCAACAAGATATCCGTTATATGACTCAGCAAGGTCCTCACAGGTGGGGTTTACTTCAGAAAGTAGTTGATGTACCCAAGATTCCCGAGAAGAGAGGCCCCCTATGGATTTAACCTCTTTCCACCATCTGGAAGGGTTTGCACTTTTCAACTTCTGCACGGAATTGGCATAGTACTTTCTACGTGCCACTTTAACATCCCGTTGAACTCTATTGCGCCAAAATCTATATGCTTGTGAATTTCTTCCGTACTTATGAAGTGATTTTTGTCGCTTACTAATGGAGGACTTAAGCGATGACGTCATCCATGGTTTATCAGATTCCCTAACACTAGTTGGTTTATTGGGGAAAAAACAATCCATCATTGCAGAAACTACCTCATTAAATCTCCGGTACTTCATGTTAGGATCAGGTATTTCGAATATCTCCGTCCAATCGGTAGATGTAATAGTCTGACCAAAATGTCTTATACTGCTATCTCTTAAATCTCTTTTGCATACTCGTTTATTACACGAATTCTCCAGACGATCTTTATGGGGTTTTATTAAAATGGCATTATGGTCGCTCGAGCCAATAGGAGGAAGCTGGCTTACATCAAAAACGACTTTCTTGGCATTTGTGAGACACCAATCCAATATGGCGTTGTGACGTGTTGGGACATTAATAATTTGAGTTAAACCGGACAATCTTTTCAACCGTTTTTCATCAAATAATGTACTGAGAGGGTTAAAATCCCCAGTCACAAACACGAGACCATCAGGATGCAGAGAAAGGAAGGATTCAACATTACGCTGGATATGGTTGTACAGTTCAAGGTTCTCGTTGGCGCCGGAGGAGGTGGTGTGGTAAATGACTGCAAGTAGAAGAGCGGATATAGATCTTGGTAAACGCTTAGGTCTAAGTAGTAACCATAGGGATTCAATGGCTGAATCCTCGAAATGCTCGAGCCTCCTACAGTAAATCTCTTCTTTAATATAAATGGAAACGCCGCCACCGCAGGAGTATGTGCGATCATTTCTGAATTGGATAAAGTTCGATAACGAAGTCATTGAGTCCACAACAGAGGTGTTAAGCCAAGATTCAGTAATGCATATGACCTCAACTTGGTTAATTTGAGCTACGAACTCTAGTTCGTCTATTTTATTAATTATAGAACGGACATTGGCCACCAGCAGGGTAGGGAGCGGGAAATTGTTATCACGAGCTACATACGACGTGGAAATGGTGGGTGTGTTGGCCAGGGTTGGGGTAACCATGGCCTCGGAAGATAATTGGGGGGATACTGCTTGTTCGTTATGTCGCGTGGGCGCAGACGGTAATTTGGGGGATACTGCTCGTTCATTTTGTCGCGTGGGCGACGTAAATACTGAGGGGAATGAACTGGGGTCATTATTAGTGGTCGTGGATACATTGATTTTGGTGGAGGGAACAGCGGTTGAGACACTGAATACCGGTGGTAAGGGGGGTGAGGTATTTGAGCATACTCGAGACTCTGTAATCTTGTCTCGAGTTGGCGCATCAAAGTCGGAATATTTTGTAGGTCGTGACTTCCTAAAAAAGGATGTAATTGGGGGCATTGTAAGTTATCATTTGTTACCGGATGATTTCCAGTTGGATACGAATAGGGTTCGACATGGGAAAAATCACATCTGGATTCTTTCAAACAATAGCCCTTCTTACGTAGAAACGGACAAAATATGGAGCCTTTTTTATCGTCGGAATGCTGGCGAGCTTGATCATTATTAACCATATTGCGATGAGAAAAGTCGCACTGTTCACCTTTTAAGCACCAGCCACGCCGCAAAATAAACGGACAAGGCGTTTCATTTTTGGGAACTTGCATCTCATTGGTTGGCGGTAAGTTTGCATCGCTCACATTTGGGACAGAGACATTAACTTCTACACCAAGAGAACTTTTAGGCATTAAGTCTGCATTACTCGCAGGTTGGACAGGAACAACATCACTCACAAGTGGAGAAGGGTCATTAGCATTGATATTAAAATAACTTTTTGGCGAACTACAAATCGTCATACCATTTTCAGATGGTAGATTTTCGTTGGTAGACTGATTATTATTCGAGTGCGTGGGTAATAGTATTTCGCAATTACTCTTTCCAACATCATTATTGGACCCTTGGGGATTTATTTTCGCAGTGCATTGTATCTGGCTATCAAGATCAAGTGAAGCGTTCAATTGAGGATTAACATTAAACAATAGCGTTTCCAAGGACAAAAGCTTGGACTTAAATACAAATATTTCTTGTTGAAGTGAATTTATTGTCTCGTCTTGAGTTTTAATAATATTTTTAAGGGATTTCTGTGTAGATTGCAATGACTTAATGTTAGATTGCATAGAATCATATTGATTATCTGTACCGAAACAAGACTGCGACTTAAAGATCGCCAAATCTAGCTTAATACCCTCTATTTCTGCAATAATTTCACCTTGACTACATGTACACGCACATACATACTGAGTCGATGATCCATTTATTAAACCCGAAGTATATTCAGTCTGGCTCTCTTCATTAACCACTAAAGTTACGTTCAGGTCTTGCTCCCGCCGATCAGGACCATCACAATCAACTCCACGCGCTTGTAGGTCCACCTGATCAAATAACTGTTCACTCACCGCGATCGATGTAGTCTCTTTGTTTACATGTTTGTTTGCAATCGATATAAGTTTTGATTTCGCTGCTTCAACGCTCTCAGGATCGCCCTGAAACACTATCGTATTCTGCTTTCTGCAATACCAAACGAAGCCAAACTGCTGATCAGGTTCGACTGATTTGAGCGTAAATTTTTTGGCGTTGCCACCCGGTGATGACCATCTACCGTCGATGCGAAGCGAAGATTCTATAAACAATTTTAAGTCCTCCAGAGAGGCCAACCACTTTAATTTCCCCTCGTCAGCGACTAAATACTCCACCAGTCCATACGAATCTCCATTTGGGGACGAAAGAAAGCCCTCAACAAAGATTTCAATCTTTTTAAGAGCTTGACTAACAGCGTTCTCCGCCATATTGTGAAGCTGGTATTTACATTAAAATGTATAAATGTAGTGATTTTAAATATTGTTCGTTTGTGGCAATTAATACAGCGTATCGTGTTTTTATGCGTGTTTATTATGGTCTTTTACCTACAGCAAATATGGCTTCACCAAAATATAACTCAAAAACTAGCTTTTGCTTATATAACGCAAATATATTTTACCGTATTTTCGAGCAAACTACTGACTACACTCTCAACAAAACGAGTGTTTCAGGTTCCCCTGCAGTTCCACGGCAAAGTTTCGAAACGCTTTACAGTAAAATTTTACATTAACTTTTAGCCGATTGAAAACCACATAACATAAAACTACATTCCTTTTAATAACAAACAAGACGCTCTACGGAGCGTTAACTCGCTGGAGCTCTACTAGACTTGTTTGAAGTCCGTCTCAGGAGAAAAGTAGGGAGAGACGGACTTGGTACATTTGCGCGAAATTTTTTTGTTGTTCTCAACTCGCAAGCCACGCCTCCGTGGAAAAAATCCGAGCGCGTGCAGGGTATCCAAGTCCGTCTCTCCTTACTTACGTTTCTCTTATATTTTCGCACCTTTATTGACCGCTCGCGTGCATCGTTATTTTCTACCCCTTGAGAAACGGACTTGAACCCGATTCTAGGGCTATACAAATACGCATATTACTGTACATGCTATTTCAATTAGTACACAGCTATTTCAATTAAGATTTTCCCCGAGCTAAGCGGAAAAGTCGAACACCGGCGCGAAAAGCATAACACAGTACTAAAATACGCTAGGCCATACAACTGCTACAAGTAAAGTAATATTCTATAGTACGCTACATTCTATTTTCACAAAAATAAACCAGGAAACTCCCTGATCCAGGGTACCACTAGTTGGTCCGTACGCTAGGATTTAATGAAATGCGCTTCAAAATAAAATTTTTGGGGTCTTTTGGGCTCAAAATACTATCAAAATGAAGAGAGAAGTGAAACGAATCCAATGTGATACGGCCGAAAAAGAGAAAACCAATGATACCAAGGTTATCAAGGATCAAACGTACTGCAGTATTTTTTATAATTAGTTTAATAATTTTGAGCGATTTGTCAACAATACAATTTCGCTTGGCTTTCAAAGACAAAGGCAATAAATCGCTAGAATACTGTTGTTTAGTAATACTGTGCATTTGACATCCGTAATTAGTACAATTTCTAACGCTGAACGAACGGTGGGTTTTTTTATCCTTATTGCACTATTTAGGCATTACAAATACACTATGAAACGTACTGCGAGTGATTTGTCAACAAATACAATACATACTGCGAGCGATTTGTCCTCAGTCAACATTACAATTTCGCCTGCTTTTCAAAGGCCATAAATCGCTAAAATACTGGTGTTTAGTAATACACTTGACATCCGTAAGAACAATTTCTTATGCTGAATCGAACGGTGTCGCTTTCTTCTCAAAATATAAAGCAGGGCAGTCAAACGACAAACGTAACATGCGATTTGCGAAGGTTGCTGTTTCCATGTCGAAATTTCTTGTAAAATTTTATCATTTTCCCGAATTTTCCTCAAAACGCAGGGTTATTTATGGATAATTTGGGTAAAAACTGGCAGGAGCCGCAGGAGCTTTATGGATAATTTGGGTGAAAATTAGATAGCTCATTAATATTCTATTTTGTGGCTATCGATCTTCGATCCACTATCGGAGAAAAATGCAAGCCGAAAACTATACGCGTCCGGAGCACAGTGCCCCAGCAAGTAATTATGAAAATCAACAATTCTTTTGGTAAAAAATTATCGCCTTTTGTTTTCTCATATTATTTTCATGTTACCATAGCGACTATTATTATTTTGAACATGGAATACTTCATGTTGAATGGAATTTCTATACTTCATCTGTTAAAAAAGGCGAGGGGTTGCTGCATGCATGTATTTCTAGTTTTTACTATAAAATCAATTACACGGTGAGATCTCGCTAAGCGAGCTAGCCCGGTAAGCGAGCCAGCCCGGTCTCCATATAAACAGCCCCTAAGTCAGATTTATTCGATGATGCTCTAAAGACTTTCACAAAGTCAAAATATAATTATCGCCTGCCATTTTGTCCTTTTGAAAAATCTATGACTCTGGTGGGCGTGTTATGGTCTAAGAAGTAGAGAGTTCCGTAACTGTAACATAATTAATTATCATATTAAGAAGCCGTCTCTGTAAGAGCGGTCCACTGGATATCTGTTCGGAAAATATTTGACCTTTAAACTTTGTGGCTAAAAAGTATTTCGCACAACGTTAATACGGTGCTTACACATTTTGCTATATCTTTTGATATGGCCTTTTTTCCCCTACCGAAACCGAACACCTTATAATTGGCATTTCCGGCCGTTGAAGGTTTGGCAATATTTAGGTAAATTGAAAAGTCTGCTACGGACACTACAAAACTTCAATTTACGCTATTTCATTATATGTTGTAAAATGCATATCAATCTTGGCTATGCGTGGAGTTCATTTTGTTTTGTGTACATTTTAATGTAAAATAAATCTTTCAAATACAGCCTAAAACTCGCTTTCCTAACCAAGCCAAAAATATGCCATATTTTAATGGAAATATCTCAAAAGTTAGAAGCACTGAAGAACCTAATATACCACTAAAGTTTAACTTGTATGCCATGCTAAAAGCCTGTTTAAAAAATGTTGCGGTATTTTCCAGTATTTTGTGCGACAGCCCTTGAAACATTGCCCAATTACGAAATTTACATGGAATTTTGACATTTCCTTGTTTTGTGACAAAAACATTTTATACCTAAGCGCATGTTATAGAAATCTATGTACATCCCATCTGACCATTGCAATGTTGTTAAGACAAAATCTGTTATTGAACTCAGTTGGTAAACTGTCGTAAATAGGCGAAATTAGCATTGTTTTTCATTGTTTTGTCTTAAGGCAGAGCCAAACAGGCCTATTTTAATTAAACTTGTCTTGAAATGTTAAATACTTTAATGTAAAATGTAAATAAGAAATACAATCTATATGTTATATTTTTGCTTATAAATGCTTAAATACGGGGTTAAAGAGTATGTTCACGCGATATCGGTTGCGAAACAGTGACATTATAGAATGGATTGTGTGCTTGTTTTCATATACGAAGCTTGACACATTCACATAACTCCGAAATTTCATCTGCCTAAAAAATCAAAATAACACTGTTTATTACTTTAGAAGTTTCGTTATCTGAAGAAATATTACAAAGCAATAATGCATTTCAAGATAAATAAGTATTTTTAGTATTTTTGCACAAGTGAATATAACAAATCCTACAAGTTGATTAGTCAAATTTGACGTATTAAGTTAAAATTTGCAAAATGGCAGCTAGCCAGTTTGCCAGGAAGTTACTGAAAAACAAACAAGCGAAATTAAACTAAATTCAGTCCCAAAAAACACAAATAAGTTGTGTAAAAATACTAAAAGAATTATCCGCCTCAGGTGATTATCGGGGAATATTCCCCAATAATCACCTTGCCTTCGGCGAATAACTGTTAAATATCACTAACCATGCACTTAGTCAGGAAGCTCAGGCTTTTTTATTGTGCATGTGCGTTTGGGACGGATGGATGAACTGATTTTTTTGTTGCATGCCCACATATGGGCATGCAACTTTCATATAGCTCTAAATTTCGTGTCGCGGTGTACGTACGGGCGGTGGTAAATCACGTGACAGATTCGTAAAATACGACCAATACCGAGTCAGTCCGACGAGCATTTTCATGTGATGAGTGAAACTTTAATATGCACGCTTTTGTTCACGGCTTTCGTCGAGGAAACGCAAAGAAAATATTCAGTTTTCGTCGAAAATATACTTAATTTAGCGCCTTTAATAGAAAAATAGATCGAGGTAGGTAAAGCTTGGCTGTTTTTAATTTAGCCTATTCTGTTATTTGTTATTATTTTGGTGCCGTTGTGCTGGCAATGTTATTTATTTATCAATTATCAGGCGTTTATGTTTGTGAAAGGCCACGCTGTCAGAATTTTAATTTTTTATATGCCCAAATTGAAACGAAGCCATTGTGCTAGCACTGATTATATTGTGTGTAAAACTTCAAATTTCAAAACTACATCACATTCTGTAAATATTAACATGAACTATTGTCTACTGAAATTTAATACAACGATATAGCATTCTACTTCGATAATTTCAATCACAGTCGAGATCATAGTTTAACAATTATTTTCAATCATTATAGTAATTCACGGTTTCCACGGTTTTTTTATACTTTCAGCAAACCAGAATAAAGCTAAATTTGTAGGAAAATATAAACATTGTTTACTTCGAATAGTCAATCAGTGATAAAACATTGACCTGTTGACCTTGATATTACCGTCCCTTGCAACTACAGATGAACAGTCGCGAAAAGTTTGAAAAAGTTTTGTTATTTTGACATAATAGCTATTTTTCAATAAATATATTGATGTTAAATTTATTGAATCAATATCCTAAGTTTCAGGCCAGTTGTACAAAAATTTATAAGCGCTTGTGCACCATAAAAGTGGATTTCCATTCAGTGCAAAATGTCGCGCGATCGACATTTTGCGATCACTTTCTTCTGAAATACAAGCAATCAAACGCAACAGATCAAGTTGACTGACCGTGTTTCAAAAGAAAGTGATCGCAAAAAGTTAATCTTGCAATATTTTGCACTGAATGGAAATCGGCCTGAAGGCTTTAGTCACAGAATAGATACTAGATCAGAAGGGACACTCCTATGTGTAATGTGTTTTGACGTGGGAAAAACATGCGAAATTTTTTATGTGCTACTACGCCATCCTGGAGTGCACACGGCACTTTGTACATATGTTTGTACCCATGAAAACTTCTTTGGTGCACTCCAGGATGGCGATATATGATGGCGTATTTTCACATCAGCACTCGTCGAGTGACGCTTCTGGTCCATTCTCTATTCTGTGCTTTAGTTGTCTTATTATTTATCACGATGAGATACATTTCACTACACTTTACATGGCGGATCTCGGAACACGGGTGGAACCATTGGGCGAAGGAGCGCGGCGAAAAAGGGTGAAGGGAAGGAAACGCAACTAAAGCCTCTGCAGAAGAGAGAGGGCATGCAACATGTACGCACTGCGTACCTATTTTTTTAATTTGTTTTAAACATCATATCTGTGTTTTACCCAATCGGGTAAAACGCGGATATGGTGTAAATTATACTTTTGAGTCTTTAAAAGGCACACCCGATTTTTCCCAAACAGGTAAAACGTGGATATGGTGTAAAATATACTTTTCTGGTCTATAAAAGGCATATCCACGTTTTATCCTATCGGGTAAAACGCGGATATGGTGTAAAATATACTTTTCGTGTCTTTAAAGTGATATCTGCGTCTTATCCAATTGTGTAGAGCGTTGATATGCCTTTTAAAGACTCGAATGCCTTTGAAAGGCTTCCAAGCGTTTATACGCCCTGCACGGCTGTTGAAAAGAACCGCCATTCCGGACTCCGTCCTATATAGTCAAGGTTTATCTATACGTACACCTATCCTTGAGTATGCATGCGAAGCGTGGCACAACAACCTCCCTGTGCACCTTAGTAAACAAATAGAGCAGATCCAGAAACGAGCTCTCCGAATTATCGACCATTCCTTTAGCTACAGTGAAGCGATGCTCACAGCCAATGTTCAATCGTTGTACGATGGCGAAGCGGCCCTTTGCGAGCGACTTTTCCACAGAATGCTTGATCCAGGACACAAATTGAACTCGTTCGTTCCAGCTCTTAGGATTAACGAACACAATCTACGCCATAATAGGTGTTTTAAGGTCCCAGTTTGTAGTACTGATCGCTACCATAAACGTTTTATACCGTCTGTAGCAACATTATATATGACATTATTTCGAGACCATCGTGTACAAGGCAGATCGGCACTACACGTATAAAGTACTGCTCCGTATAAATATTTTAAAGTGTGTAAACTTGGTAAGATATATCCTTTACTACAAAGACATGAGTATAGTGAACGAATTAACGTACGATGGCGAAATTTACCGATGGACTGGCTCTTTGAGCAAGTTAAAGACCTTTGTTGAGAAAACGCTAAACGCTAAAGGGACATGGACTTCACCCGGCGGCAACGTCAAACTTTTTAAGGATGATGATTCAGATCTAATCATCAAATGGTATGGTCCTCGCTCCAAGAAACTTATAACCCTTACTGACAACTGCGATCACCCTTTAAAATCGAAGCTTGAATGTCAGGCAACGCTGGGTTTAAGAAATAACGAGTCAACATTGGGTTTGGGAAGTAGAGAAACAACTAAAGACGCCATGACGCCTGAGGTACGTTCAAGCCCTTGCTACTGCTCTTGTAAATCTGTTGTAACAGATTTAGAGGGTGTAAAGTTAGACATGGTAATTCTCGAGACGTGTTTGGGTTATACTGTATAATCTCTCCCGATCAAATGACCATAGAAATAAATTCCCTCCGCAGTAAACATAAAGATTTAGAAGCAATAATTCGTAAACAGGACGAAGTAATAAATAAACTGTACGAAGACAATACACTTATTAAGTCAAAATTGTTATCCCTTGAAATGACAAATCCCAGTGCATCTATTAATGATTTGAAGAACAATGCCGTAGCTTAACTAACGAAGTAATTCAGTTTGCGAAACAATTAGCGATAATGCTAATGATCAACATTTAAATAATTCGACCAAGACCATCATCAGAACTGCTGCAAACAATAACATTAATGGCCTTACTAACATCATTAGCGTTCCTAATAATTATTCCAAAAATACAACTATAAACAATGCAAGTCCAATTAACTCTAAGACCCCTCAGATTCATCAACAAAGTTTACCAACACATAAAGAGAACAATGCTACATGCAATAAACAAGACGAGATCACAGCCGTCAATCAACAGATTAAACACCATAAAAACACAATTCACCCTGACTTAAGTTCTATACAACAACCTCCAAAGCATACCATCCCGTTCCCGTTCCTTCGTAAACGTGGCTGGTGCGCCAAAGGCAATTTATGTGATTTTTTCTACAACACCAAACCTATATATAATAATCCTCTACCACCAAAACACCTGGTATCGTGCCCCTTCTTACAAAAGAAAGGAAGGTGTAAAAAAAGGCTCATTCTGTGACTTTTTTCACAATATTCTACCCCGCTACACTTATTCACGACCCAACCCTCACCAAACTGTTCCACCTGCTTTTTTTGGTGGGTTCCAGAGTGCCCCGTCCAACCCCAAACCACTTTCCTTGAGGATGCTACGTACAACATACCCTCCCCAACCATTGTTGCAAGTCCCAATCCACCCACCTATCCACGCACCACGTTGGGGAATGTAGATAAATCACCCACCTCCCATGTCCCAGACAACCCCCAAATCACAACTCCCTTGTCCTGTCCGATAAAGATGCCAATTCAGATTAGAATCACCTTACGTAAAACACCCCCCATAAAAACTGCAAACACTATTTCGCATATTAATAATTCAAACATCGTTCGAATAACCCCTTTAATTGCTTCTACTCAGTGCACCAAAGATTGTGACAAAGGCATTGCTTTGACTGTTTTAAATGCACAATCCTTGAATAATAAAGCCGCAATTTTTAACGATTTTATTTGTGAACATCAACCAGACCTTCTTGCAGTAACTGAAACTTGGTTCAGCGATAGAGAATCTGCACCAAAAACTCAGTGTACCCCTGGTGGCTATAAGTTTTTTGATCATCCCCGTTCTGGTTGTCAGGGAGGAGGTACCGGGTTACTTTTTAAAAACAATCTTCAGGTTGCATAGGTCGCTGGTGGCGAACGTCAATCATTTGAATACTCGGAATGGAAAGTTATAAATAAATTTGATTATTGTGTACAGATCACCATATTCTGTAGCCCACCCGGTTACCAGTGCTGTATTCTTTGTGGAATTCGCAGAATACCTAGAATCAATAGTTCTGAGTGCAGATCCTCTTCTTATTGTCGGGGACTTTAATATTCATATCGATTCTAATGAAAACTATGATGCTATCAAGTTCTTGGAACTTTTGCAGAGTTTCAGCCTGACTCAACATGTTGAAGTCCCCACACATTCCAGCGGCCACACCTTGATTTAATGATAACTCGGAAAACTGACAATCTAGTTTCTTCTGTGCCTAGAGCTGTTTGGTTTTTTCTCAGATCATATGCCTGTCTTCTTCGAACTTAATATGGGTAATGTTCTTTTTACTAAATCAAAAATTTCGTTTCGGAATCTTTCGGCGATGAATCTGGACGCTCTGCGAGCTGACCTTTCTAACTCTGATCTCTGTAAAACACTGATATGTTTGACATAAATGAGCTTGCTATATGTTATAATGAAACACTTGAATCAGCCATAAATAGGAATGCTCCATTTAGAACTAAAACGATCGTTACTCGACCCTATTTACCTTGGTTTAACACTGAAGTAAAATCTGCAAAAAGAGAGCAAAGAAGAGCTGAACGAATATGGAGAAGAACTAAACAGCCTCATGATTTTCAAATATACAAATCTAAGAAAAACTATATGATATTTGTAATGAACCGTTCTCGGAAAAAATTTTATACAGATTTTGTCCTGGAACATAGTTCAGACAAACGGAAACTATTTAACGCCGCTAAGTCTCTCTATCATCAGAGAAATGATCTTCATTTTCCCGCATATGAAGACCAGATTATGTTAGCTAATGATATTGGAGAATTTTTCGTGCAGAAAATTGAAAACATTCGAAGTGAACTTGATTTGTCAGCTTCAGACTTCCACAATCGTGTATTCGATGAATCTATTGCATTGAATGCCTGCTTTGATTCATTTGAGCAATTAAGTGAAGAAGATGTAAAAAATTTGATAACTAAATCAAATGGGAAAACTAGGTCATTGGATCAAATGCCGACTTCGATTGTCGTACAGTGTCAAGATATTCTTCTTCCTGTTCTTACAAGGATGATAAACATGTCATTAGATTCTGGTGTTTTTCCTCCTGAATGGAAGGCACCAGATGTTTGTCCGTTACTTAAGAAATCGAATTTGGACACTTGCACTGCTTTTGAAAACCTTATACCTGTTAGAAATCTGTCGTACGTATCGAAGCTTACTGAACGTACAGTCTTCAATCAAAGATTGTATCCTAAAGGTCAGTCGGCATATCGTAAATGCCATAGCACTGAAACGGCTTTGCTACGAGTAACAAACGATATCATGATGAATATGAACCGTCAATATGTCACTGTATTGGTAATGGTAAATCTTAGCTCCGCATTCGACACCGTTGATCACGGCATCCTGCTTCGTAGTCTGAATCATGAATTTGGAATAAAGGGGCGGGTTCTAGAGTGGTTTACTTCTTATCTCAGTAAACGTTCTCAATTTATTTCAGTCAACGGTGGCCGATCTAGACTTTTTGATGTATCATGTGGAGTCCCTCAGGGATCATGTTTGGGTCCCCTACTATTTGTACTATATGTTAGTAAACTGTTTAGCATTGTGGAAAAACACCTTCCTGATGCTCATGCATTCGCTGACGATTCACAGCTCTATGTATCGTTCAAACCAGATTCGACCTGTGATCAACTTGCTGCAGTTGCTGCCTTAGAACACTGCATTGATGATATAAAGGATTGGATTCTCTGTTAAATTAAAGGTTAATGATGGTAAAACAGAATTTCTAATCATTGGAACTCGGCAACAACTAGCGAAGGTCAACTTTAATTCTTTGAGAATTGGCGACAATTCTATCAACTCGATCGACAAGGCAAAGAATTTGTGATTCTGGTTCGACTCGCAGATGAAAATGGTAACTAACATAAGCAAGTGTTCAAGTGCTGCATTTTTTAACATATTTAACATTAGACGGATAAGGAAATTCCTCACCTATGAAACTGCGAAAATATTGGTCAATTCGTTGGTGATAAGTCGATTGGACTATTGCAATAGCCTTCTTTATGGTCTCCCAACAATTCATCTTAACAACTCCAGCGTGTCCAAAATGCCTCAGCTAGACTGATCAGCAATTCTTCACGGTTTGATCACATCACCCCGACTTTGATGAATCTACACTGGTTGACGGTAAAGTCTAGAATAGACTTTAAACTGCTATTAATAGTTTTTAAGGCATTGCATGGGCTGGCACCTGATTACTTAATTGAACTAATAAATATTAAGTCTCCATCTAACTATAATATTAGATCGAACAGAGAAATTCTTCTTGAGCCACGTTAGATGATCGATCATTTGCCTCTGCGGCACCCACGCTTTGAAACTCCTTACCTTCATATATCCGAGAGGCTAGCTCTATTGACAGTTCTAAAAGACTTTAAAGACATACTTATTTAAGAGAGCCTATATGTAAATAAAGTTCGTAATTTAGGTTAATTTTAAAGACATAATTTTAACTAAATAGTTCTAACTAATTTTATATTCTACGTATCAAATTCTCATGCGCATATGAACATATACCAAATGGAATATGCGCACTATAAATGTAAATATTATTATTTATTATTTATGAAACACTTTTAACTCTTATAACTTTTAATATTCTTAAATTGTATGTTATTACGTCACTCTAGTCATACCGGCAGTATTTCATACTGGTAAACCATTGTAACTTCTACTTTTAATATTCTTATAAATCATATGTTACTACATATTCTTGGGTATAGTTTACAGTTGTAAAATCAGCGTAATTCAATTTCAACTGCAAGATTGGTTGTAAATAAACCGTTTATTACGATTATTATTAAAAGTAAAATTTACACCATATCCTCGTTTTCCCCGATTGAGTAGAACGCGGATATGACGTTTGAAACATTTTTAAAGAAGAATAGGTTATCCGTCCGTATCAGCGTTTTACCCTAGCCCTAGCGCACTGCATATACAATAAAAAAGCCAGAGATTCCTGACTAAGTGGTTAAAAATATTTAACAATTATTCGCTGAACACGAGGTGATTATTTGGATATATTCATAATCACCGAGGCTGAGGCGAATATTTGTTTTTGTATTTAACACAAGTCTTTTGTGTTTTTGGGACTGAATTTAAGTTAATTTCGCTTATTTCTTTATCAATAACTTCCACAAAACGGCTAGCTCCATTTTGCAAATTTCGTTTTTTTGTTGTATTCGCCTGTAGGTGAATATATATAATAGCTTAATGTGTCAAATTTGACCAATTAACTCGTCAGATTTGTTATATTCACTTGTGCAAAAATACTAAAAGTACGTATTTAGTTTTTTAATATCTTGGAATGCATTATTGTTTTGTAATATTTCTTCAGATAAGGAAGATCTGAAACAATAAACAGTGTTATTTTGATTTTCTAGTCAGATGAAATTTCGGAGTTATGTGAATGTGTCAATTTTCATATGAAAACAAGCACCCAACCCATTCTATACTGTCACAGTTTCGCAATCGATATCAGGTGAACATACTCTTTAACCCTGTATTTAAGCATTTATAAGCGAACAATTAACATACAGATTGTATTTCTTGTTGATATTTTGCATTAAAGTATTTAACATTCCAAGACAAGATTAAAATAGCCCTGATTGGCTCCGCCTTAAGACAAAATATTGAAAAACAATGCTAATTTCAAATGCCTATTTACGACAGTTTACCAACTGAGTTCAATTGCAGATTTTGTTTTAACAACATTGCCATGGTCAGACAAACATTTGCTGGGATGTATATAGATTTCTATAACATGTGCTTAGGTAAAAAATGTTTTTATCACTTAACAAGGAAATGTCAAAATTCCATGTAAATTTCGTAATTTGGCAATGTTTCAACGGCTGTCACACAAAATACTGGAAAATACCGCAACATTTTTTTAAAGAAGCTTCCAGCATGGGATACAAGCTAAACTTTAGTGGTGTATTAGTTTCTTCACTGCTTCTAACTTTTGAGATATTGCCATTAAAACAGGCCTTTTTTGGCTTAGTTGCGAAAGCGACTTTTAGGCTGAATTTGAAAGATTTATTTTACATTAAAATGTTCACAAAACCCAATGAACTCCACGCATATTCAAGATCGATATGTATTTTACAACATATAACGAAATAGCGTAAATCGGAGTGTGGTAGTGTCCGTAGCAGACTTTTCAATTTACCTAAATATTGCCAAATTTTCAGCAGCCGGAAATGCCAAATAAGGTGTTCGGTTCCGATAGGGGAAAAAAGGCCATATCGAAAGATATATAGCAAAATGTGTAAGCACTGTATTAACGTCGTATGAAATACTTTTTAACCACAAAGTTTGAAGGTCAAATATTTTCCAAACGAATATCCACTGGACCGCTCTTACAGAGACGGTATCTTAATAATTTAAATAAACATTACTCAGATGAACAGACTTCTAATCTTAAATTTTGCAATTGACGTGTTATAACTTATAAATAGTTAGACTATGCTATTTCTGTTATATATTTAGTGATATACGGCCCTTTGAAAATCACAAAGGTGAAAGGCTAGCGTGTATAAATATCTTTAAATAATTTATTAAGGGACATATTACTACTTAATTTATTAAGTAATAATAAATTATAGGGCAGAAACATTCAGTTTTATGCCCGATTCCATTAGGAGAGTTTGCTCGCGCGAAGGGAGAAAATTCGCCGCGAATAAGTAAAATAGAAAATGATTCTTGTTAAATGTTGCGTACCGAGCGGGGTTTCCATGTAGGGCGTACATAAAAACTGTAGCGAAGACGCCGTTCGTAGATTGAATGAAAATACAGCCATCCTGCCCCGTACCAATACAAAGGCGTCAATCCTGGAGGGGTGGGGTGGAAGATGAATGAATCAGTTTTGGAAAAGTGGGGATTAATATATATTTATCCTCCCGCATGAAATTCTACAGAATTATCATTTTAATTTCCATCAGAATTGTGAAATCTTTCCAAAAATCCAGGGAATGACATTTCAGAGATCCCATCCCTAGTAGAGCACTCGCACCTACAGCCCCCTCCTCGTGCCTTCGCCCCTATGCATTGTCGCCCTTGAAAATTAGTTTACTTCATATGTGATAAAGGTCTAACCACAACAATTAAAATTTATATACAATTTAGATTGGACCCTCTATTTAAGATTTTGAAATGTTA